GTTACGCTCCGCAGAACGTGTGAACCGCGAATGATGGATAGCCAGAGCAAGCAGCGCACCTGACAAGGCATTGGCCTGAGAAATCGGCCGTTCTCTTTTGTCCATCTTGTTTACTCTTCCTCCAAAAACTTTCTGCTACGCGTGAAACAAGCATCAGGCCACAGCGGTTTCGGGCCAATGATTTCTCAGTGAAAACGGGTACCCGGGGGGAGGGGGGTTCTTGCAAGTTTCCGATACTAGTTCGTGAAACAGAAAACGTTAAGATCAAGTCTATGCGCCAATTACAGCCGGCGTTCAGTCTTAGAGACTGTCGACGAGGTTTTTGCACCCGGACGTCCAAACAACGATTTAATCGTGATTGATGATTGATCGGTTTTCCTGCATATATGTCGCTTGACATTTTGCATATTACAGATCGCGTAATGGAGTTCGAGGTTCTGCTCTGATAATTGCCTCTCCATGATTCAGCAATCAATTGATCAACGAACGTTGCCGGCACAAACGTCTCGAAACAACTATTTCCTTTCAAGAACGAAAACCAAGGATTACATCTGCTTATCTGCTTATCGCTAAGCGGCAATCATAGATTTCTGGGAACACCTTATCACTAAGGGAAATAAAAGTTTCTTGGACGCAAATAATACCCCTCCTTTCATGGATTAAACAAAAGTAGTAATAACTTTAATCACTGTTTTCCCTCACATACTGTAAATTATCCTAAATCCTTGCGAAACCCATATATAATCAGAGCCAGATTATTTCGCACACGAATCACGTGAGCTCTCAGTCCTATGACACAAGTTCCTTACTCGTCCTCACGAGCTTTTGAAGAATGGAACCACCGCTGCATCCTAAACCCTTTAACAACAACGCGCACAAAGTTTTTCAAAGCATCGTTCTTCCATGCTTCGCTTCGCTTCCTTCAACACCTTGAAGAAACAAAAGGCTATTAACCTAATGACATTATCATCGATGGTCATGTATGTTGTGCAACATTCCATATCCTGTTTTCTGATATGTTTTTATCGTAATATGCGTATCTCATGACTTCGATCTAGATCTAGACTTTGTGCTTTATAGCCTCACCTGTCATTTGCCTCCATGTGGGGCTGAAGAAGGAACATCACTGT